AAAAAATTTAATAGATATTATTAATTAACTTTAAGAATTATGAGGGGTCGGATACTTATGACCGCTACTGTATTTCACTAAGTGTAAATGTTAAAAAAATTTTTTTGGCCTCGAGGCACCATAACCAACACACGAACTTTACTAAACCAATTTTTAGTAATAGGTAAGCAGCATAGTCAATATTTATTTCCTTTAATAAAAAAAAACTCCCCCCGAATTTTAATATATAATTATATAAATTTTCATTTTTCATTTTCTTCAATTTTTTTTTAATCCGGCAGGAGTATTGCACAATTTACTTATTATAGGACAAATGCAAATTTGGGGAAAGCGCACGAAAATCAAGGACTAATTATTTAATTTCTGATATACTTTCACAAAAAAAAATAATGAATTTTTAATATTTTTATGGAATATTGTATATTTTCAAACTTTTTTTTGCAAAAAAACACAAACACATATGACGTCAATAAAATCATACTACTGATCATATGATTTATCATACAGAATTTCATTTTTAGTGAAATAATTTGAGCAACACCAATTGGTTGTCATTTATTCTATTAGCCTGAGGTTCAATCAATTTATGAGGTCCACATCAATTACAAGGGCTGTGGCTATAAATGTTAAATTATCACCATTTTTTTTGAGGACCCATATTATTAGAAATCTGTATGATGATTCGGGTTGTCAATTAAAAGTCAACTTGTTGTCGAGACGTGTTTTATTTAAAATTTCTTATTAGGAATGACAGTTACGTATGTTCTATTGAAGGCTCATACACCACCTCAACAATGAATCTTTTTTCAAGGAGGACTTTAATTTGTATTCAACTATTTTGGATCATTGATTATTAACTATACAGTATGTAAGCTCTGTTAGTTCTCCCTTTATTAATTGACTGAGTTGCTTGTAAATAATAAAATAATTTTGCATATTTTAATAAAATTAATATTAGTTTATTAATCACGGAAAGTTACGCAAATAGCTATGGAATATTGACAAATTAGAACTTCAACAGCTAACCTCAAAAGCTGATTAGTTGCTTGCTACAAAAAAGAGTATTGTAAGGCAAAACGTACGCGTTTGTAACGTTTGATTGGAAAACGCGCGTTGTAAAAGTCCGAACTTATGAACGTTTGTTTGGAAAAGAACGTTGTAAAAGCCCAAATGTATGGGTTTGTACCGTTTTGTTGAAAATGGGTTTAATTTGGCAAATTCGATCGGAAAAAGTCAAACTTTAGGCTTATTTACATTAAGTAAGCTCGTAGGATTTCATTGAAAACTTTCCACAGATGTATGCAAGGTTACATCATCATTCCTTGTGTATGATTGATTATACTCAAACTAATTTTGTAAATGTCAAAATTCTACTTTCTACTCTTTTTACTACAAAGTGTAACAATAATTATTACCACGAATGTCAAATAATAAATGTATTTTATTGGAAGTATTCCTTACTTTACTCTCACGTTAAAGATCGTAGCTTTATGGTAGTAAAAAAAAAAAAAAAAAAGTAAAATAAAATAAAATTATCACGAAGTATAAATATTTGTAATAAAAGCTTATTATTCCAAGCCAAATGGATTATTTTAGGTCATTAAAATAAGAGTGATTGTTTAATTTTGGTTAGAGAAAATTTTGTGGGAAATGATGATGTTTTGTAAACCATCATGTACCATCAATTCATTATCTATCACTACCGCAATTTCTTTAAGCGCAAAACAGGTTACATTCACAGCGGCAAAGATTTAAACGCTACCTGACGTTGAGTAAATGTAATAAAGTGATGAAAATTAAAAATGTTTTGAGCACGGTCAAAACTAAAAATTTTTAATTTAATTAGTGAAGATCAAAATAAAATCTTAAGGCGCTTACAACCAATTATAAACTTGACGCTATTAACCATTCACTCTCACTCTGAATATATGCTAATACTTTCATTAACGTGAAATTTAAAAAAATATTTTTTTTTTTTTTTTTTTTTTGTGATGGACGCGGTTTTTTCGATGAATTAACCGCTAATCACAGATTGTTTGTTTGATCTAAAAATCCAACATTCCAAAATAAAATTCTTTGAGCATTTAAAGAAACGTATCAATTTATTACGAATGAAAAAAAAATAATATATAATATAATTAGTAAATTAGTCCTAATTAAAGAATTTAACAAAAAATTAAATATGTACCAATTACTTCTCCGGTATTTTTATTAGGTTGAGTAACGGGAGTGATCCGTCATTATACATAGATTGTGAATTGAATAGTTTTGTTTTTAATAAAACCCCAGGATTTCAATGAGATTCTCTTTTTAATGATCCCAATTTTCCGTAATCTCGAGATAAGAAATCTCTTTTGATTTTACGCATTCCTTTGCACGTATCTAATGATCATGAGTCGCATCATCATACGATTGATATTCCAATATCGCAGCCTAGATATATACACAAAGATGTGATACATAAGACGTTAGTTCATAAAACTCATCTGATCATTATTTGCTGAGACCGCTTAATCTCCGATCTGAAGAATCAGCCTGCTTGACAAAGCATCAAAACATGATCTCGCCGGAATGAAATTATGAATCTTCAAGTTAACCGGAAGAATTGATTCACATTTTCATCACGAACTTCAATCCTAGAACTACATGTATAACTTTCAATCGAATCATTTTCAATCAAATAATAGTTGGTGGCCTTGCCAGTGAGACGGTCCACCTAATGTACCATGTCACAACAAATTATTAAATTACGGTCTAAAGGAATATGTAAATTATGCAGATTTATACAAATGAAACCGAACACCACACCATACCTTCAATTGCAGTATTCCAAATATCTTTGTTTTCCAAATTTCGACTCTGATCTGTCTAAATATTCTTGACGCTCGCACTCATCTCTTGCACCCATTTCATGTACTGTACCAACGGAGATATTAAGAGTATTTTTCACGAGGAATTTCACATTTTAAACAGGGATTTTTCAAAGCATCACCTGAAGCATGCATTAAAAAATGTTCAATATGCAAGGATTATGATGGTCATACCAAACGGAAAATCGTCATAATATGGATTAAATTTTCCTAAAATATACAGTATTCATATAATTCTGGTCAAAAAAAAGTAAAAAAAAAAAACCTTTTAAAGGGTTAAAAAATATAAAATGAAACAACTTAGCTTATGAAACAAAAAGGAAGGTAAGGATTCTACTAATCATGAACCGATCAATTACCCACAGAAAGCATTCGCTCGTTCGCATGCAAGGCAAGATAGGCAGGCAGAGTTGATTTCCATTTTTAAAAATGTATCGACTATAATTTATTTTTTTTAAAAAAAAAGAACCAAGCGAGGAAAACTTGATCCACAAAAAAAAAAAAAAATGAAATGAAATGAAATGAAAAAGGGGAGAAAGGAAAAGATGACCAAAACGTACCGTTTAATGCTAAAAAAATTCTAAATGAGAGAACAAAATTGGAAAAGAAAATAAAATTTCGGTCTAACGTTAAAGGTAAAACGGTAAAAATAAATCCGTCACGTACAGTAAGTACATTTAGATCTAAATTTGGCAAAAAAACTGAACTTTTTTAATGCCATAGGTATTGCATCAATTAAACTGTAAAATGCGTCATTTTAAAGCTAAACTGAGTATTTTTATTAAAAAAAATTAATATGATATTCTTTCGCCATTTTCTCAGTAACCTCAAGGTCAGCCAAATGCCTTGAACCAGTTGAGCGGGAGATATCTACTCCTATATCTTTCAATTTATCAGCAACAGACCCAGCAGAAATCGAGGGTTGCCTTCGAATGTATTGTCCAATTGCCCGAGATGTATTTGTCGTTATTCTTTTAATACGTACGTTATCACCTTTATGCTTTACACATCCAGTATTTTGGATTTTTTAAGGTTTCGGCGGATAGTACTAATTGGAATCTTTGTCAAACCTTGTATTTCAAATAGCATATCGTATTCTTTGCTTCCAGTAATGTAAAATAGTTGTTTCTTGCCTTTATGAAATTCGATAAAATTTAATTTTGTTAAAGTGTGGGAAGGGTATAGAGCGATTTTCAGGCTTTCATTTGCATATTTATTTGTGTTATTCTAACCAAAATTTGGCAAGTCACGCTAGTTGAAAATTTTTTCTGTCACCTGAAACATTTTTTTTTATGCGTGAAAACATCAGGCTTTAATCATTTTTGTCCAATAGATACTTGATGCAACATCAGGTGCACAATCATAGGTTTTACGCCACTTATCCTCACTTACCCTCTAAATCAAGTACTAATCAAGATTAATAATTTAAATATATACAATATGTTCTTACATTATTTTTTTTTTTTTACTTATTTGTTAAATAATTTTATCTTTTGGTAAGGCTCGAAAGAAATTTCGGGAGAATTTTAAATTTACAATATAGTAGTTTAATGATCGTGATGTAAGAATGAAAAGATCACCATTGCATTATTAAGAATGAAAAAAAAAGATAATAAGGGGACGAAATTCTCATTTGTGACAAGTTAAACGGAGGGATTAATCAATATTTTGAATCCCTTGAAAAAAAGTTTGTAATTAAGAATTGTCCCTTTAAAAAATAGTTTAATGGTAACCGCAGCACGTGCATCTAAGAAATATATATTTTCTTCAAATATTTAGCAAGGTAAAAGGAGCCCATTGAGAACGAAAAAGAGGATTTACTCTGAGCGTGATCCTTGGGTCAAGATGAACCTTTAACAAGAAAGAGTCACATCTAGAAAATAAAATAGTTAAAATATCTTGTATTAAGGAACCTCATAAATGACTGAAGAAGGATGCTGCGGATTTTAATTACCGGTCACATATAAACCATCTCAACATGATATTAGAATGTTGCAACCTTCTCAAACATTCCAAGGGTTTTAATTTTAAACATTATGTAGTAATAATTACTTACTGTAAATAGAGATGGTTTAATTTGGAAAATAAATAGTCCGAAATGAGGGATTCTTAATTAAAAAAAAAAATCTTGTTTGGAACCCGATGTTTCGCGCATTCTTGAATCCTTTCATATGTACTGTAATTGCCCATCGGCATTCAACATTTTTTTTTTTCAAACAATTATAACAAAAATTAAAACGTTATCACATTTAAATGGAAATTTTTTTTTTTTTATTGTGATAACAACAAACTGACATACAAACAAGTTTATCGTGTTTCTAGGTTAATTATATAGTCTTAATTTGTTTTGTAGGAATATTTTATGCCAAATTTAATAGACCTTAATATAATTTTTTTCATATTAATTTATATAAATTATGACTTTTAGGATTAATTTTTTAACAAAATTGAGATTTTTATTGCATTTTAGTTTTTGATGTATTAGATTAAGATTAATTAAGCTCTTAATTTTAATCAAAAATTTCTCGAAATCTGATTTTCTAGAAATCCTCCCATATCTCATTACATTATACTCGTGCAATGTTTATTTTGTGTCTTTTTTTTCATTACAATAGGTGCGATAATGATTTAGTTATATTGTCATTGAGTTGCATAACGTATATGCGGTCTAACAATAAGAGAAACGATGTCGGTATTTTTTTAAAAAAAAAAAGATTCAATCATAATGTTGTAGTAAAAAAAAAGTATTTGTGATGATGTAACAAAAAGTTGAAATGTAACTTTATATTAGGCATCATTAGTTAACAATCTTTTCGATTACATTGTTTGGTTCGTATTTTAGTTGTCCGAAGCATAGCGAAGGACATTTTACTTCTAGGCATTTCAAACGCAATGTCATGTTGATCGACGAATCAGTTTTTGAGCACGTGTTGTCGAATTTTGTGTTACATGTCGTGTATTAAGTGTCATGTAAACATTTCGCGTTGAGATCCGAAAATTTACATTTATTAATACCTTTATCAAATAATAAAAAAATAATAATTTTTTGTGATATAAATTTTCTTCAGTGTATAAAATTCGTATTTGTTAAAAATACCCTAATTTGCGTTTTTTTATATGATTAATATAATGCATCGGACGCTCCAACGGTTCCGTTACCTAGTTTTATTGTATATGTTGCGTCAAATGTTAAATATAAAAATGATCATCAGTGATGCTGGCCAGGAATTACAAAAATGGGCCGGTAATTTAGGCTAGTAAACGTCTGATCGGCAAAAATTTTCCCCACATTGCACTAAGTATTTTATGTCACTGATCGGTGAATCACGATACTTTTTAAATTTTTAGATCGTCCATTGGTTAAAAATCTTAATTTCCAGATTATTCAACTTTTAAGGTATAAAAATGAATGGTATATATATATATATATAATTTCAATTAACTTAATTTCTTTAATATTGAACATTTCTGTGGCTGACATGCTCGAGAATCTAGATTCAATAATGGAGGAGTTGAAAATCACTTGCTAAAAATTTGAAATAACTCAATTTTTGTCAATATTCTAGAAAATTCGTTCAGTTCAAACAATGGATTCGAATCTGCTTATTTTTTGTTAAAGTTGATTCAACGGCTGGAACAAGCTTGTGTAAAGTTCTATAATTTAAAAACTAGCTTTCAAGTTCATTTGAAATTTTTTATAGGAAATTTCTATACATTTTACAGCAGGTATGAACTCAATTCATGTAATAATGTTTATATTGTGATAACTTTTATTGAGATTATTTGAAATAGTAATTCTCAGAAGGAAACCGCCAACCTATTTCGTTGAAAAAATTTAAATGATATCATTAGGGTAAATCCAAATATCGAGTTGATAATTTGATAAATAAATTAGAAAATATTACAAATATTTACCTTGTTAAATCAATTTCAAACATCGCTATGTTTTCTATGTTTTCGAAATGGAAACTAGGAGTCAGTGTTGGCAATTTTATCATTCCAATTGCATGAATTGGACAATTGGACATATAAAATTCATATGTTCAATTCAAATTGTGGCGCAGTTTTACCAAGTCCAATTGGTCCAAATGCCAACACTGCTAGGAACGGTTCACGACTTTGCGATTAAATCTTTATTGATATACCGCAATTCACGAATATAAAAAAAAAGAAAAATGCAAAGCTGATGAATAATGAAATGTCAATTTGAATCAAGAAAGTTTACATTAGAAAATGTGTTGTTTTCCAAAATGGTCGAACTAAAAATAATGTGGATCTTTCCTTTTTTGGATTGTTTCAGCCATAGGTAAAATTGGAATACAGAACAGACTAGCCGTCGATTATCGCAAAGCGAATTAGATTTGTAATAATAATGAAAAAAATAAATTTTCAACAGATTTAATTCAATAAAACCATCATTTTATTAAAGGACAAATACATTATGAGGTTAAAGTAAAATATTATTTTTGTATTTAACTAATTATTTCTATGAGTGACTATTCCAACATGTTAGAATAGTCAAGCAGGAATCCAGTATCGGTTTTATGGTAGCTAGGCCGCTTAAAAAATTTTCCAAGATTTTTAATTTAGATTAATTAGCCATCAAATTTTTGTAGGATATTTGCCAAAACTTTATAAATAATTAACTACAAATGCTAGTAACATAATATTGTATTAATTTTAATTCTTAAGCTTTTAAAGCTTACAAATGAGGTGTAAAATACTTTCGGAAGTCACTTTTGTTGCAATGCTTTCTTTTAGACTAAGTATCAAAAAGCCCGGCACGGACTTAATAATATGACAATTCGAAATAGTTCCGTTATAATTAATTTATGCTATTAAGGCGATGCGAAATTTAATCTTCTATAACATTTTTTTTTATTTACTAAACAAGTTATATACATATAATATTATTTTAATAATGTAACGCGACAAAATAAAATCAATACATTTATCATTAAAACCACGTTACGGACACATTCGTAATTTGATCCCCAATAGCAAGCTCCCCAAATTAAAATACAATCAGCGGCCAATTCCAATTAAATTATAACATTCACCAGAATTATAAAAAATCCGGTCCGGTACCCCGACGCCCGTTGCAGGCCTCTACTTTATTTATTTTATTTTATTTTATATAATTTGACAATCTTTGAACCTAAAAAATTTACTAAATATGTTCACTAATTCTATATTAAATTTTATCATGATCCACTTGTTGCTGAAAATGCAATAAAGACTAAGACTAACTGATGAAAAAAATTCAAGTTTTGAACGATTCAAAGAAGAATGAAGAATGGTATGACAACCTACCTGGACTGGTTGCTACGATTCCCGGACAAAAGTAATCAACAAAAAGTTTAAGAAATGATACCTATCAAAAAATTATGCAAAAATAAGTTATAGTCGAAGATAACCAACCTGGAAAATATCACAACGTTCTAAATAGGTTTACTGCGCACCAAGTTATTAATATAGTAATCTATTTGACCTATTAAAAAGTTATTCTACTAATTGACGCTATTGTTTTTTTCCTACCAGATAATTTTGTTGAAGTTTATGATTTCGCTTGTATTGTTTGTATCGATTACGGTAAAGTTTTTCAAAGTATTTGTTTTGGTACATTAATATAAGTTGTACACAGAAATACCATGAGTTTGAAATCTCGCGAAGTGGTTATTTTTTTTGCTTGTAAAAATTTTATGATTTTGATTTCTAATT